TCACTAACCGTCTCAAGAGCAAATATCATAATCTTCTGTCCATCAACTGCCACAACTTTACTGTAACAATTTGGCTAAAGAGAGAAAGAGAGAAAAACAGGCAATAAACACAATAACCATGGAAACCAACAAACTCCACCCACCTCACAAGAATGATTAATGAATCGAACCATGTTTCCGGACATTAATTGTCACGTCCACCACTTCATCACTGTCAATACGGAACATATAACACCCAATACCTTTACTCTCGTAGAACCGTTCCTGATAGTCAGTGAGGGTTGATCGTATTACAGTACCAGCGTATTCAATGACCATATCACCGGAGTCAATCTCCTGGAGACAGAACAGGCCCAGCCCATGAATATGGGAACCAAACACGCCCACATTCTCACGATACATCCATTGACACGCCCGGTAATGCATAGCAACGGGGACATCATTCTGAGGCTGATGATGACTAAAAAAGAAAAAATATATATATATATAATAAATTATTATTTCTTTGATTACGTATTGCTGTTTCCCTGACATTCAGCTTGTATCACTGCCATGTCAAGTGCCTCTGGATCAGGTTTAGGAGGATCAGGCCTCCATTGGGACATTAGGAAACTGAACATGTCTGACTCCGACCTTATACTGGAAGAGAATAATAATAAAATATTAATTTTAAATAATTATGTCCTGCTTTATCTTACTTACCCATTATAGCCTTCACTTCTAGCACAGCCAGTTCTATTAACAATCACCTTCTAATTATGATAATAATAAATTAATAATAATAATAATAAATAATTATAAATAAATAAAAATAATGACCACACCCATACCTTCTGTTGCAAGTTGGATATCTTCTCCGGTTGGTAATAAATGAATGTCTTTATCAATATTACCTGTGATCACAACTTTGTTACTATCATCACTTGTGATATTGGGACGACCTAAAATATAGAATAAAATTAATATTCAAACACATTAATAAGAATAGATCGACTAATTACCGTAGATCGGGAAATTTTCACCGTTAAAAAATTTTCACCATGTTACTAAGTGGTTAAAATTTGACACACGAAAATTTGAACATTGCGAATAATTAGAGCGAGTTAAAATTAAACACGTGGCCTTGAACGCAGCTGCACGGCTTTGCTTCGATATTTTAAACCACTTCACAACCTTCAAGACCCAAGAGGATCCCTTTCTACTCTTATTCCCTTCGATGTAATAAGGGAAATGAACAGGACAGTAGAAGAAGAAGAGAATGATTGTGGTCAAAATAGTAAGAAACACTGCAGCCCTTATCAGAAGTTTAGTGCTTCTGAACGTTCACAGATTGGCAAGTATGCCGTTCAACATGGAGCAACATCTGCCTCGAAATACTTTTCAAGGAAGCTGAAGAAACCTGTCATTCGAAGCACTGCTATGGTTTAATTTTTAACCGTGCTTAATTTTCACCACTAGTCATCCCGGCGAAAATTAAACACGCGAAAATTTCGCTGGTGAAAATAAATCTACACGAAAATTTCCCGATCTACGGTACAAGACAAAATCTACACTTACCTTTGACATGAAAATAAGCAGGTGCAAAGCATTCGTAATGGTTTCCACAAAAAATACATACGTCTATTCTATAAGTAAGATATTCTCGCCCATCAGCACCATCAATGGACAAGAGGGACAATGAAAAACTATTTTTACTCGTAGGCTTTTGTTCTAAGTAACTTAAAAGTTAGATCAAGCAAGCAAAACAATTTTTAGGCATTGAATATACTGGTCTTGCTAATATTATGGTCTGGCATTGAATACAATAATTATAATCTAACCTTCTTCTAGACATATCTTTGTTACAGCAAAATCACCTAGGTAACTTTTCT